GGATAAATATTGTCTCAGTAACTGTTCTTCTCGATTTAAACTATTATATTTTATTTGCATACTATAACTTTATGATACTATAAAATGATTTTTATAATAACTTTTTCACAAGTAATTATATAGATTATACATCACTCATTGCTTCAAGTAGCAATTCAAGCATTGATGTAACTATAGACTAGGATGTATAGGATATAACAAAATAAATTGGTTTCATAACATAAGTTACACAATAATGACTCGACATAAAATTAAACTATAATACTTCATATGCAATAAGATAATACTTATTACATGATTTCATAAATTTTCTGAAAACATAAAAGCCTTGGGGTTCTTTTTTATGAACATTATCCATCCTTAATGGAAGTCAAAGAAGTTATCATATGTCCCAACCCTTTTACAACATGCCTCACTTTGATTACTATTCATCCCTATTTCACATATATAAGTTATACCACATAAACAATTCATCGAGAGTGACAATGTAAATGGGATGGTTAGGTCAATTTAAGCTAAAGTAGTTATTAAATAAACTCTAGATATAATATCAATTTATTTTTTTTAAGTATTTTTTTAAATTAATAAAACTCAATAAAAAATTTGGTAGAATTACATTAAAAAAGTTTTACAATTAAAATAAATAAAATCAAGAGACTCACAAAGACTTCAATCAAAATTATGACACATGATCAAACATTCATCACATTCTTTATATATCCAATTATGTATTGGTCTATTTATCTTTTATCATCCCTCATGCTATTTATATAAATTATAAATGAAACTTAATCACATATATTTCTTTTATATATAATCTGACACATTCTTTTATTTTCACAGTTATAAATTTTTAAATATTTTAAATATTTTTTATTAAATTTAAATTTAAATTATGTTTATTATTTATTTTAAAACACAATTTGAAAAATAGCCTATTGACTTCGTCAATAAAAATTAATCATAGTTTTAAATTAAAATAAAATAAAAAAGTTTGAAATTTATCATTCCATGTCATATTCACTTTTTTTGAATTGTTGAACTACTTTCAAAATTAGTTAGAACTCAAAAGTTATTTCTAATTATTTTTATGCTAAACTTTACAAGAATAATGTTTTAATTAGACCCTGCTATTTTAGAGGAAAAAATTTTCAAAACCTTTTATCCTTTTCTATTATTCATAAAATTTCACGAGCATATCAATTTATAAGTTTTAAAAATTTTATAAACAAAATAATTTGTTATTGTCTCGATATACAACTTACAATCAGTTCATCATGAACTTGATAATAATCAATGAGCTCGTATAAAAAAATAAGAATATTTTATTTAAACAAATAAAATATATCAAAATTAAATATGTAGATTATTTTTTATTATATAAAATGTAAATTTAAGTTTTAACTTCTAACTCAAAAATGTTAAATTTTTTATGTTGGTTGACATCAATATGTATGATATTAAGTGATTAATTAATTTTAATTAATATTTAATTCTTACAAAATTTTACTTTTTTATACAAAAGAATTTGATCGAATTTTTGTTTTATTATAGTTATTTTAATTAAGAGAATTTAATCGTTATAAAATATTTCATTTGTTTTAATATTTTATAACTTGTTAGAACAATGTCCAATTTATTATAATTTTATTAACAAATTAATGTTTTAATATTTTGATTTTATTGAATTAAGTATTATAACTCTGATCACTAGCAATTTATCTTACGTTCATTTTTTTATATCAAACAAACTCTACGTATTTAATATAATTTGAACTCATTATATTCAAATAAAATGTAAAAATTTTAATCACTAAATTATTAAAAGGGACGATATATAAAATTTTACTACAATAGTAGGATTTGAAAAATTATGTACTCAGTTCGCTAAAGTTTTCTATTAGATCTGCGCGGAAATAAATCATTAGAAATTTTGTTCCTAATTTCCCGGCAAACTCTCTTTCTCTCTCTTAGCCCCCTAAAAACCCTAATCTCGTTTGTCCAGTCGTACCACCTTCCAAGCACTAAACATCCAGCAAGTAATCTGCTCTCTCTCTCTCTCCCCCCGCGAATCTACCAAAACAATCACCCAAGGATTCGAATCTCTTCGTTGCTTCTTCTTTTGTTTTGTTTCTCCTCTGAGCACATTTCTCACCCGGGTTTCAAGCAGTACCCGGGACCCTGCAACAACAATCGAAGTTCATAAACTTTTTAGTAACCCAATTTCCCAGATAAATTTCTTTCTTTCTTTGTTTCCCCTTTTATAACATAGCTGGATTTAGGTTTTTCTTCCACTCAGACTTTTAATGGCGGAGGATAAGAACGGGGATCGGAGCGAGGTGAGTGATTACTCCTCAGAGGATGAAGGGACTGAGGATTACAGGAAAGGTGGATACCATGCGCTGCGTATTGGTGACACTTTCAAAAATGGCTGCTATGTGGTGCAGAGCAAGCTCGGTTGGGGCCATTTCTCTACCGTTTGGCTCGCTTGGGATACCCAGAAATCGGTATAAACTCTTTTTTATTGTTGTTGTTAACGTTGTTGCTACTTATGGAGTGCTTGTGTTAATCGAAAAAGGAAATATTTTTTTAGAAACTTTTTCATTGACGAAAAATTATGGTTTCTAGTAACCTGAAATGTGCATTATTCTATGTCAGTTGATGCTTCTACGTTTCAGTTTTTTCAGTAGTGAGGGTCCATATTTATTAGTTGCCTTCAATTCTTACTCCTTTGTCTGTATTTGTTCCACATGTCATTCTCTTTAGGTTCTTCATTGTTCTTGTTGCCTTTTTCTTTTTTCTTTAAATCTGTTGATATATCTCATTTGGCCGTGTAAGCGGCGAGGTGCATACTACTGGGAACTGGATCAGGAATTTATTTTTATATTTAATTCTTCCACTCTTTAACCACGCAAGAAATTCATTGTTTGTAGCGTTATGTAGCTTTGAAAGTCCAGAAGAGTGCTCAGCACTATACTGAGGCAGCCATGGACGAGATAAAAATCCTCAAACAGATTGCTGAGGGCGACCCAGAAGACAAGAAGTGTGTTGTGAAGCTTTTGGATCATTTTAAGCATTCAGGACCAAATGGGCAGCATGTATGCATGGTTTTTGAGTACCTAGGGGACAACCTTTTGACACTAATTAAATACAGTGATTACCGAGGGGTTCCACTCCACATGGTTAAAGAGATTTGCTTTCATATCTTAGTGGGTTTGGATTGTCTGCATCGTCAGCTTTCTGTTATTCATACAGATTTGAAGCCAGAGAACGTTTTGCTTTTGTCAATGATTGATCCATCAAAAGATCCCAGGAAATCAGGTGCTCCTCTTGTTCTTCCAGCCAGTAAAGATAAAATTGCTTCTGTGTCTTTTGCTTCAAAAAGTAAGAGTTTGAATGGAGATCTGACAAAGAATCAAAAGAAGAAAATTAGATGAAGCTAAGATGCAGCTCAGGGTGCTCTGGGA